TATAAATATCAATATAAAGAATTATAGCAAACATATTGATATAAAAATAAATATAAAAGTCATTAATGGAAACACATAATAAACAAAATATAAGTAGTCCTTCATCCCTTGTTTAATTAATTAAAAAAATCAAATAAAACACATTTAATCACTATCACTCTCGGTTAAGTAATTTGGAACTTCTTCTTCTAATGTTTCCGTTCCATCAAACTCTTCCTCTTCATCATCATCCTCACCCACACATTCTTCCTCTATCACATATGGCAATTGCATGACCTCACTAATCACCACTTCTTCTCCCCTTTGAGATGCTAGTGAAACATGATCATTTAGAACAGTCGAGGGTTGCACCAATTGTGGCATAGGAGGATCATCATCTTGATAATAAACATATCCACCGTCACTCAACGATGAAGTATCAATTATTGCTCTTGCTCTAATCTTACATGCAGCAAACCACCCTTTTCTACAAGGATTTTGAGATGGGTAACGGGCATAAAACACTTGTAAAGCTTGACTGGCCAATATGAATGGTTCATCTGTTTGTAATTTAAACCAAGGATTTATGTCAACTATACCAAATGTCGGATGGACCACAATGCCTTTGTTGATATCATACCACTCACACTTGAACAAAATCACTGATTGATGAACATATAAGTCAAAATACTAAAACTCAATTATTTCCTTCAAACTCCCATAATAATCTGACTCATCATTGAAAGTGGTTCCCTTCACACAAACACCGCTATTCATGGTTTTTTTATTTTGTCCATATGCGATAGTATGAAACTGAAATCCATTAACCGAATAACCATTGTATACCCTAACGTTATTGATTGGGACAATTACTAAAGGCAAAAGGTGAGAATCAACCTCATATCTTCCACTACGCACCTAGATTTGTTATAAAAATATTTAATATTTAATCCTAAAATATATAAAAATTGAGATCTTACTAATAAAGATTATTAAAATAAATTACTTACCGTTGTCTTAAACTAAGGAATAAATTAAACTAAGGAATAAATTCAAGTTGCCATTTGACTTGAATTTGATCTTCTGATAGACCGGAACATACTTGATAATCAAAAAGCCTACATGAAGAAGTTGGAGTAAACAATCTAAACATACTAGTAACTTAAATAAATGAAAGTTAGAACTAGAGAATATACGCAATCCATGGATTAACTTCTTCACAATTAAGCAAAACATAAAGTTCTGCTGCCTTTAATTCTTTGAGTGACAATGCATGTATACGCATTTCTCCACCTAGTGGTTGACCTCGATGTTTAAAGACAGACAAACAATTATCCATATCATCATTCACGCTGATAACGTTTCTTGGTTGACAATTCAATCTTGTCTCTATGTTAGATCCAAAATAATGTGAGCAAAAGAAGGAAATTTCTGAAAGAATATTATACTCGCAAATTGAAGTTTCAACACAATTTTTGTTCAACGCTGTTTTCTTAAGGTCATGCATTTTTCTGTTAAACAAATAAGAAAATTAATTAATAACATTAAATTATTAAATATGCTCAAAAATGTTATTGTGATGCAAAGATATATTAGAAGAAATATACTTTTCAAAAGGATACATCCAACAAAATTGAACAGCTCCTCCAACTTTTGCCTCATATGGTAGATGGATAGCCAAATGCTCCATCGAGTCAAAGAATGCTGGCGGAAATAATTTCTCTAACTTGCAAATGGTCTCAACAATTTTTTCCTCCCACATCTCCATGTTACTGCCTTGAACAATTGGAGCAGTTAAAGCTCTAAAAAAGTTACTCATCTCAGTTAAGGGACCCCAAACTTCGTTTATAAGGAAATCACGGAAAGCAATTGGCAAGAGACGCTGCATGAATACATGACAATCATGACTTTTTATCCCAAACAATCGAAGTTCTTGCATGTTAACACATCGTGCTATGTTGGATGCATACCCATCTGGGAATCTCAATTCTTTCAGCCACTGACAAATAAGAGCTTGTTGCTCTCGAGTAAGAACATATGTAGCATTGGGTTTTATAGCTGTTCCATCATCTTGAGGTATCAATTATAATTCAGATCTATTACAATACAGTTGTAAATCCAATCTAGCATTGGTGTTATCCTTCGTACAACCCTTGTCATCCATGACAGTATTTTTAATGCTATCTAAAAAATTCTCCTCACAATGCATGACATCAAGGTTATGACAAATTAATAAATCATTCCAGTATGGCAATTCCCAAAATATACTACGTTTCACCCAATTATGAAAAACACCAAATCCTGCAATTGAATTTTTACGAAGTGGCTGGCCAAAGACTATGTCAGGAAGCTGATTAACCCTTTCTTCCATCAAAGTACCATCTAGTCTTGGGGGGGACGGCTTTTTTCAACTCTATTGAGATAAAAACTGTTCTTATCTCTACGAAATGGATGTTTAGGAGGTAAAAATTGACGATGACAATCAAAAAATGATGTTGTCCTCCCATATTGAAGTTGAAAAGCCTTAGTGTTCTCCATGCAATAAGGGCATGACAACTTCCCATGTGTGCTCCATCCAAATAACATGCCATAAACTGGAAAATCACTTATAGTCCATAGCAATGTAGTGTTCATGATAAAATTCTGTTGTCTGAAACTATCATAAGTTTCAACCCCATTTGTCCACAATTCCTTAAGTTCATCAATTAATGGCCTAAGCATGACATCAATGTTTTTTTCTGGACTTTTAGGTCCAACAATTATCATGATAAGAAATATATGCTCTGACTTCATACACAATTCAGGAGGAAGGTTGTACATTGCAAGAAAAACAAGCCAACAAGAGTAAGGCATTGCAGAGCAACCAAATGGATTGAAACCATCTGTACAGAGGCCAAGTCTATCATTTCTAGGTTCATCAGCAAATGTTGGGTGGGTTTCATCAAAGTGTTTCCATGCCTCACTACCCGCAGGATGAATAACTTCATCCGCATCCTCACGGCATTTCAAATGCCATGTCATGTGCTCTGTTGTTTTTCTAGACATGTATAGTCGCTGCAATCTTGGGGTAATTGGAAGGTACCACAAAGATTTCCTTGGAACATCTTTCTGCCTTATAGCAAACATATTCCTTGGCTTATAACGGGATTCTCCACACACTGAACAAGCAGTTAAATTCTTACTTTGCTCATCATAGTACAAGAAGCAATCATTGACACAAATATCAATTTTCTTGTACCCAACTCCAAGCATATTTATCATTTTTTTTGCACTATAGAAATCCTTTGGCACCTTTTCTTGGTCTTCTAGACTCAACAACTTTCGATTCAATGACAATGCCATTTCCCAATTAGTAGCACTTATATTATAAAGAGTTTTCATGTTTAGCATTTCTGCCATCCATGAAAGTACTGTAACATCCTGTCCCCCAGCACCTATATGGACTTCTGCAGCATGCAAGAGATCATAAAATTCCCTTGCCTTACTATTTGGCTCCTCAACCATTGGCCCGTCATTGTATTTAGACTGTGCACCCATTGCATCAACTACCATTTCATGGTATAATGCATCTACCTCATTTCTAACAAACTCCATATTAGAAGATTCCCCTTCAAAGTTTCTTACTATATTACTAGATGTCTCTCCATGAACATACCATATATAATAGTTATTCATAAACCCATGCTTACACAAATACACAGAGACGACCTCAAGATTCCTCCATTTTTTACATTTACATTTCAAACAATGACACTTAATCTCTGATTTTGCTTTCGATCTTGAAAATGCAAATCTCACAAAAAATTGCACCCCTTCTTTAACTTCATCAGTAACAGAACCACTATCATCCATACGACAATCTATTCAACTACGGTCGTCCATCATTTAATTACCTAATTTGAATTTCAATTTGACAAAGTATATTAACATATCAACTAATAACCATACATGTTAATAACCACACATGTTAATCTTAATCTTAATAATTTTAAATTAAATTTCTTTATGTATATGAATTCAATATATAAAAATACTACTATATTTCAACAGTCATACATATATTAATCTTAATATAAATAATTTAGTAACTTTATAA